CCACGACATTCCAGCTGAAAATATCTGAGTGATGTATGCGGAGTCTTGCTGGGGGCCGCCACATCGACGCATTCCAGGGCAGAGGCGTTTCGCCAAAGCCCCTACGAGCGCAGTATGGTTGGGAGAAAGGGCCCCAGAAGAGACAGACGGGGCTGAGAGAGATGCCTCCAGTCTACGGCGAAACTGCCTAACGGTGAGACTTTTCTCTGAGAATGGCTAAAAGTCATAAATTTCCCGGGTTGGCCTTTGCGGGGCGGGCGAGTGGGTCGGTCGGGATTGTCACAAATAAAATATGTTCGAAATTTGCACATGCCGTGTGCCCAGGGGCGTACACGTACATCATAGTTTGGCGAACCAGACATTGAGCAATTCCGAAGCCGCATGAATTATCCGTATTTCCAACCGAAGCATTTTACATGGCATGAACCGAAAATTTGGAAAAAAAGTTGGACAACATGCGGTGATTAATTCCCGCAAATCTTGTGTGTCTGTTTCTGCTAATTTGTGTTTTTGGCATTGTAAAGAGAAGCTGCTGTCCTACGCTATCCCACCACGAATTAAGAGGAAAATTAGATGAGAAAAACGAACTACAGACAACCGCGAGACGGTAAGTATTAAATAAACTGAAGGTCCGTCACTTGGTCAACAGGTCATGTATATGACTGTGCTCAGTTGAATCGATGGTGGGCGTTGAAGGTGAATTGTAACAGTCTACTTATGTAATACTAATGTTTTCGCTTAAACTCCCAAAATCAGCATTGCCAATACTGAATTGTGCGAATCAACTAAAACTCTGCATTTCCTCACAGCCAAAACATCAACTAAACAGTCAACTAGGTTTTAGTTTTCTCTGCTAACAGTAAAGGATGCGAAACCTTGAAACTAGGTAGGATGACAGTAAAAGGTATTCTTACGGCTACAATTGGCCTATACAGGAATGGGTTCAGTATGATCTGACCGGTAAAAAAGAGGAAACTAGCTCCACGAACAGTACACAACGTATTAGATCTCAAAGCGACCAGGTCAGCAATATTTCAGCTCGATCAACCAGGGCAAAGGAGGCTGATCTTTCAAAAAAGCAGTATCGGTATATTAAGAGAAATATCGCACTGTGAGAAAGAAAAAATAAACGTTAGTATAAGAAATAAATCGTGAGACAGAAGACGCGAACTAGGGACTACATCCATAGAAAGGGCAGTCTAAAAATTGAGATGAATTGCTTTTGGAGGGTCATTTTAGAGATTGCCTCCTCGTACATTTGTATTCTGTAGAACAGAAACTGAGGGAAACAATCTCGGCTTGTGCTGCCTCGGTAATGCAGACCCAACCAAATACTGGTCCCAGCTGAAGAAAACATCACACGAGGGTGAGAAGTAAGACGAAAAAATAATAAACGAGGCCCCGAGGGCAAACTGTGTTTTTTCTACATGCCGGTAGAAATGGCATGAACAGAGTGCTACAGCACAGGGCTCCAGCAATACCCCTAATATAGAAACGCTTCTCAGACTAGGACAGTAAATAAATAATTTTTAGCAGAAGCAGTTTGAGTAATAGCCAAACTACCCATTTTACCTTTGGAAAAAATATCTGGGAAAAAGGAGTTTTGTCTTTGCAATAGCGAGTAGAACGGCAATTCTTCATTACGACAGAAAAAAGGCAACTAACCTGATGAACGGTGGGCAACAGGGCCGCACATCGGCGATCAGCTGGCAGTCGAATGATTTCAAGGAGAAATCCAAAAGGTCTCGTCAGTAGGAGCAATTCGCATTCAACCAAGGACTATAATTTGCAGAAAGAAGGAAGGTAAGTTACAGTTTTTAGCTATATTCCGAAGAAAGCTTGAGTGCGAAATTATTGGGGGGGAAGGGGGCAGACAGGTAAACATACCTCCTTCGACAGGCATGTCAGATGATCAGATGGCTTTGAGGAGACTGAGACCCACGGTCGAAGGCGATCCGCACCAGCCTCCTGACCGGCATCATCATCAAAGGCAACCAGGTGGTTGAGGAAGTTCCTCATCTGGCTGGCAAACTGCGAGTTACTCGAGGGCAGGGGCGTTTTTACAGAGTTTGGTTTTGAGTGCAGGGTACCGAGAAGATCCGCCTTCACAGTCGGTGTCAGTAGAGGCAAGATGGCCTTCAGGAGCTGAAGGTGGAACAAGGAAGGTGAACTAGCGCGTCTAGAAGGGGATGCTGGCATTTATTGTGAGCTAGCATGAAAAAAATAGTTAAACAAAAGAAGACAGAGCTTACGCTTAGGTGGTGATTGAATGGAAGCTGCTTCTGACGCAGACCACTTAGTCGGCCGATGAGAGCGACTGCGACGGCGCCATCGACAGCCAACTGGTGAACTCGTGGAAGAAAATGAGGTAGAAGTCTGTAAAAAAGAGTAATATTAAGCGAGTGCTAAGGGGAAAGCAATACTAAAGATGAAGCGAAGGGTACGTGAGCTAACAGTGCCTTCGGTGACCAGTCACGAGGACAGGAGAACTTAAAGTTTAACTAAAATGTGTCTAACTAACTACCCAAAGTAAGTAATTACTTTTTACGAAACATTGCAGTACATTAAGTTTAAGTTTAATATATCCAAATACCTAGGGTCTTAACGACAATAGGTTTGCAGGCGTTTTGTCTTTTGTAAATTACAGATAATCGTGATTTAAAAAACCCAGATGGAAGCAACTCACTTAGCTGAAAAAGCAACGTCATCCAGGTGGTCCGCAC